GCTCCCCACCACCCAAAGCATCCCCTCTGGACCTGCCAACGCCTCCCACCATGTTCCCAATCTGCGCCCCTGGCTGTTATTCCACCCACACGCCTCTCCGGGGGAGAAACTGGCAGGCAGAAGAGGCCGCCTGGCAGCTGTCTGGTCTGTCCGCAATAAGCTACTCCCCCCTCCAAACACACGGCATCGGTAAGCCAAGGGAGTTCCGAATCTAGGTAGCCACAGCGGAGAGGCTAATGCATCCATTTCAGTTTCCTTTCAAGAAAGGGGTTGTCCTCTCTAGGGATGTTAATGGGTAACCGGTTAAACAGTTACCCAAGAGCAGCCCCCAGCCCCCCGTGGGGGAGCCAGGAGCTGCCCCGGCAGGGCACGCTCTAGCCTGACTGCAGCAGGTGAGGGGAAGGGGTGCTCCAGCCCCACTAGAGCGCCCCCGCCCCGCCCACACCCCTTTAATCAGTTAAACACGCTTTTAGTACTACAAGCAATTTAACCAATTAGGCGGGATTTTTCATCCCTCGTCCTCTCCCCCCTCAGCGTTATAATTTCTGTCCTGGCCCCCACTCTAATGCTAGTATTCCAGACAGCCACCGGAGAGATGCTGGCACCAGGCAGGCCAGCAGTGTGACACCCCCCGCCCCCGGAGCCCCTCTATCTGCTACTGTGGGTCCCTTTTCACCGCCGGCGGCATAAACCCCGATTCTTGGTTTTGCAGGGCACAGAGAGATCTTCACGTGAATAGTTTCTCTTTTTAGCCAACTCAGCAGACGCTTCCTTCTCCCCTGGCCACGCCGCCACTAGAATCTTTATCCTGCTAGACAAAGTCAGTCAGGCAGCAGCTACCAACTCGTTAACCAAGTTATAACAGATGCCAAGATCAAAACCAGTTTCAACCCCCTCACCACCCCTTTCTCATTTCAGTAACTAAGCAGTAAGCCACAGCTTAGCCTGGGACCGTCTATAGACAAGGGAAGGCAGCCATATTACCAGCGTTTTTTTGGTAAAACATTCATCCATGCATAAAGCCCTGAGATAATTAATCTAATTTTAATGAAATTTCAGGCAACAAAGCCTTGGACCAATTACAGCTCTCACTCAATGAGAGCCAAGAGACGCTTGGGTACAAATGAGGCCTCTACACACATTCCACAATGGGAAAGTATTTAACTGAACTAGCCCCCGTCCGAGTTGCAAACTTGCTGCATTTGACAACGGGAGAACCAACCAACGGATGGAAACTCGACTGCTTGGCATTTCCGCAGCAAGTTTATGAAGGGGCACTGTCAAATTCCGGGGATCTACATGTTTTGTCTATAGCGGGGCTGCATGTGAAGTCTAATGTAAGCTGCAGAAGTTGAGGAGGAAACTGCCTGGTTCTCTTGTTTGCATGTCTCCGCTCTCATGTGGCACCTTCCCTGGGACTTCCATGCAATGCGCCTACGTGCAAGCAGGGAACGTAAAGAGAGAGGCAGCTACACACAAACACCTGGCATGTCTGAAATCTCTGAGAATGCTGTATGCCCGCCTGCGGCCCTGGGTAAGAAAAAGCAACAGTTGGGGGAGAACAGGGAGGAGGGAAGAGAAAAGACATTGCAAACAGGTGTACCCAGAACACCTGGCTTTTATTTAATACACGTAATGCTTTTCGATCCAGTTCCATACGCAGATTGAAAACAATATTTCGGTTGGAAGTCTGATGACCTGCAGCAGGGTCTGCAAGGCCCGATTCACAGATATGCCCTGTTTGGATCTCAGGATCTGGGCTTTCTACTGAGAACTCAACCTCTCCATCTCCTGTGACCCACCCAAGGGTCTGCATGAAGGCACAAGTCCCCAACACAAAACAACACAGCAGGAGCTGTAAACAGTTCCCAGTCACAAAAGTGCAGGGGCTGTCAACTAAGCCCAGAAGAGCGCCACCCGAGAGGTGAAAGGATTAATGTAACGCCCCCACCATGCCTTATGAAAATTGCCTTATGAATATGCATAATTCAAAGATGCTGTATGCAAAACAGGGCATGTCACATATCAATCTTAATAGTCACAATCTGCTGGAGCTGTACATCCTATTTCTGTGCATGTAGCATTCTTATATGTCAAGTTAGAAATACGAAGTGTGACTCTGTTTGTAGTTAAAATGTGTTAATGATACCCCAGAAACTTAATGACTTGGTGATCAACAGCCAAACTGTGGTTGGTCCTAGAAAAACATGTGTCCATGCCACCTGATACTGGAATCCATCTTGAACCTGATAATTTTCCATGGGGATGGGGGAAGGAACAAAAGTTTCCCACCCCGAGGGAAAGTCTATTTAAGCAATGGGAAGCCACCAGCCTTCTGTCTTCAGCTGGCTTTGGAAAGTGCCTGGCCCACCCGAAGAGGATACAAAAGAACTTTAAAGAAGCTGTAGACTCAAGTCACAGTTAAAGATCAACTCTAATTTGAAGCTTATCCCTGAAATAAGAACAGCTGTTGAGGGTAAGAATTTGTACGTAACACGTTTCTAAGTGGATTAGTCCTAGCTAAGGGTTTTTTATTCATTTTAATTGAGTAGTTTACTTTGATCTGTCTGTTTTCACTCGCAACCACTTAAATCCTACTGTTTGTACTTAATAAAAGCACTTTTGTTTATTGTCAGGACCAGTGTAAATAACTGTTACCGAGGGGGGAGGAAGAAAGGGAACGACCAGTGTGCATCTTTCACTGGTGCAGCTTTCACTCTTTCACTGGTGAAGTGAGCTAGCCTTATGAGCTTTCTCTGTGTAAAACTTTTACACAGGGCAAGATGTAGGTTTTGATCCCTTTTGGGGCTTGGTTTCCTAGGTGCTGAGTCCTTATAACTGACCCCTCTGCGAGCTGAACTGCTTCCTCAGTGTGTGTGTGTTGCTTCTGTGGCAAGCCCAACTCTGTGGCCAGGCTGGGGGGAGAGAAGAGGATCTGGCCCAGCAGGACAGGGAACCTGAGAGAACAGGAAGTTGACTCTCAGTGGCATGATCAGCACATGGGGAGACAAGCCAAGGGGAATTGTGATTTCACCCTGTCACAGTTAGCCTGAGATTTATTGCACTGTGGGTTGGAATCAGATTCCTGCCATTTTCCATCCGTGGAAGCTCTGCAGGGAAATTCTGCAGAACAGTGTCCGTGTAGCAACACACCACGTTTCACACCATCAGCCCCGTGGGCTACTCCAGAACTGCCCACTAGTGGGGGCGTCTTGCACGTGCTTCTGAAGCAGCTGGTGCCAGCCTGCGTCAGACAGAGCGTGCTGGGCTAGCTGTGCCTAATCCAGTCCCAACGACAATGAAATGCCTCCTTCACCGGCACCAGTCACAGTTATCAGGCACAACAGCACACACCCCTCCTTGCACACACACCCCACGGGCCGCCCGAGGTTGTCTCTACCTTAGGCTCCTGGATCGTGGCCGCAGGCAGGGCGAACGGCGCCCGTCCTCGTCTGTGACGCTCTCCGTGCTGCGGAAATGCTTCGATAGGAAATGCAGCTCATCAGGGGTGGGCTGGTACGGTAGCTGGTGCAGACGCTCCTGGGAGGATGAAGATGACTGGACAGAACAACAAAGGCAAGTGGTGAGGAGACAGCTCAGCTCCTCCAGCGGAGCAGGACGGAAACAGAGCGTCTGTTCGGAGCAGCTGCCTCAGAACCCCTGACTAGCTGGAAATACCGACAGGCAGCCTGTGAACCTGGCTCTTTCCTAACGCTCCCAAACGTGCTGCCCACGAGCGCGAAGAACAGATCGCATTCGCCGCTTCACGCATCCCGCGACCAGGCACTATTCTGAGCTGCCCTGGTCCGCTCTGACCTGCCTCCCAACACCGAGTCCAGAGTCTCTGATTCCCAGTTGGGCTTAAGAGAGGCACCGGGACTGGAGGAGTCAGATGTGGGCGCCAGGGGACTGGAGAAGGTCTCCGGGTTCACAAGGCCCATGGGGAATGGTCAGGAAGACAGTGGAGTGAGCCACCCGACTTAGTTCCCATGTCAGGGAAGCTGAGAAGGGCAAGGAGGCCAGATGGGGCTGGCCTGCCGATCTACCCGTGCCAGAGAAGGCAGCAGAGGGAGATGTCTGCTGGCTCTCTGGGACGTACAGCTCAGGCCAAAGGGCCTTACCAGAAGCCCAGGGACAGGGGCGGCCCGTGAGCCTAAGCAAACTAGGCAGTTGCCTAGGGCGCCACCAGTCCGGGAGCCCCATGATGACGTCACAGGGCACTGGGGCGCCCCATGATTACATCAGAGCCTCTGACGGCGGTGCAGGCAGGGGCGCCAATCGCGCCTTCCGCCTGGGGTAACAGCTGCCGCAGCCGGCCTCAAGCCACTCCTGCCCAGGGATGAGGGGTGGGGAGGGGCCCCACACCAGAGAGGTTCACGGTGGACTGCGGGAACTTGTGTTGTCACAGTTTGTGCACAACGGGCTTTTGTTTGCACCCAGGCTGGATTTCTACTCAAGGAGTGCTTAGATTATTTCTGGGAACAAGTGAATGGGGAAACTGAGGCAGGCCAGGGCCTGCCCTATAACACTCAGCTATTTCAGATTTCCCTCTGCTGCTACAGACGGCTGGAGAGCTTTACCGAGACAGTGGAACTGGGGGTGTTAGTCCCATAGCCAGGCAAGGGTAGCGAAGCCAGTGACCACCTTCTGCCATCAGCCCTGCAAAAAGAAACACAGGGTCACCCTGAGAAAGCTGTGTTTAAATGCAAATAAAGGAACACTGAATGCCCAGAGTGCTGCGGGCTGGACCCAGCCTCTCGCTCCGGCCCAGCCAGCTGCACCCCCCAAGCCTCTTACGCCAAAGGTATCCTGATGCCTCCGGACACAAGTAATCACGGCTCCGTGCAAGCCACGCTATGGCCGAAGGGGAACGGCATGGCCAAGTCCTAGAAACTAGGTTAGGTCCACGGCTGCAGTGCAGGGACCGAGCGGTGCCCGTGTCCCTGTGAACGGGAGCTGTCCTCAGCCTGCGAGCGGGGTGACCGTCCCGGAGCTGTACCCTGCGTTCTTCCCGGGCTGCGTGCACACAAAGCCACTTAGGCAGGGGGGAAACGCTCGGCTGGGATTTTAAACTCTTGTCCAAGCTGGGCCCCTGGGATTTTACGGTACTATTCCCAAGGGCGGATGCAAAGGGAACACACGCAGTGGATGTGCCTCCTCCCCGCCCCCTGCTAGAAACACGATGCCAGACATTTAAACCCTAGGATGCTATTTTTGCTGGGAGTGTTTTCTAGCAGACCACGGGCCTGGGAGCTCTGCCGACGTCACTGACACCCTCCACCTCCCCAGGCCTCGGTTTCCCCATCTGCCTAACCCAGCTGTCCCGGATCCACAGGACCCGTGCCAGGCCCTAGCTTTTACGGTCTCTTGGAGGAGCCCCTGGAGTAATGCAGACCCCCAACGGGGGCTCCCTGTTTCTTTAGGAAAGGCCACGCAGCCCCACCGCCTTTGAGACTGAGCCCCTGGGTTTCAGCCACCCTGCTTCATGCTGGGACTTCTGCTCAGGAGTCGACCAGAGAGACTCTCGGTTCGAGACGGGGACGTGCTCCAGGGAGGCGCCGCAGACTCAACGGGAGGGCAGCACCCGGAGCCCTTAGCTTAACACAGAGACATGAAGGTGAAAATAGTTCAGAGTCCAGCCAAGCCAGCGCAATCCACCAGCCAAACCGCAGGCTCTGCCTCCGAATCCTTAGCCACTTCCAGGGGAGGGCAGCCAGCTTCTTCCAGAAGCCTTCCCCTGCTGATCCCCTCCCAGGACCCTGCCTCCAGGCCATTCTGAGTTCTCCCCACCCTCCAAAACACTTGTACAGTCACTTCCTGTTTCAGTTGCCTAGCTGGTGCCTCTAGCCATCTGGATCAATTGCAATCAGTTCCTTACGGAGCCTATTCACTGCAGCCCAGCCAGCTGACCCAAGAGCAGATCTGACCCTCTCTCTTCACTTGGTAACAATGCAAAGCACAGAGGGAAACTGAGGCAGGCACTGGGGATGTAAATGGTTAACTGGTAAGCCTCACCCTTAGCAGGCTGCTCCAGCCTGGCAGGGCCCACTGCAGGTACGGGCCTCTTCAGTCAGCTGGCCGGAGCAGCCTCTGTCCTTGGCAGGCCCACCTGGCCCTCCCACTGCAGGTGACACGCTGGCTCCCAGGGAGCAGGCCTGCCAGCCCCTGGGGAGCCCAGATTTTGCACAGATGGCTCCCCGGGAGCGGAGCCGGCAGCCTGTCAGCCCGGCTCCCAGGGAGGTAGCTTCACTGCATAATTCAGAGCTCACAGCTGAAGCCTCTGCTTCGCTCAGGGAGGCATAATATTTATTTAAGCTTTAATAATGCTTAATGATAGCACTTTATTAAGAATTTATTTATTTATTTCAGAATTAAGCTTTAATAATGCTTCATTCTCCCTGGCCTCTGATGAGAGGACAAGGAGCAATGGGCTTAAATTGCAGCAAGGGAGGTTTAGGCTGGACATTAGGAAAAACTTCCTACCTGTCAGGGTGGTTAAACACTGGAATAAGTTGCCCAGGGAGGCTGTGGAATCTCCATCTCTGGAGAGATTTAAGAGCCGGTTGGACAAACATCTAGATGGTGCTGGGTCCTGCCATGAGGGCAGGGGACTGGACTTGATGACCTCTCGAGGTCCCTTCCAGTTCTAGGAGTCTATGATTTGCACACTGCAGAGCCTGCAGCCTGGGTAAACGCTAGGATTTTTAGTGGTTCCATGGTTCCATTTCTAAATGACCTTTTACATCCCGCATCCCCACA